TGTAAAACTGCATTTTGCTCATATACTATTGTTATCTTCTAGTACAAAAACCAGTAAAATTGGCTATATGATCTTATATTGATGATCTACATTTTGATTGTGTTACCTGAGAATCTAGTCCTGTTTCTTTTTCTTGAACAGCCTTCTCTAAGATGACATTTCTCAAGAAACCGATCACAAGAAATTGTATAAAGTAAATTAGAAGCAATTATCAATCCCTTCACTCAACAATGAGAGTACCTTTATATTAAATGTACCTTCTCCATATTATTCTATCACTATATTTCTGACAATGGTATCTAACGTGTACGATCTAAAGAACCTGTAAAGAGCGTAGGATCTGTGTGGAATAATTCTAAATACGGACCTAATATCATAAGCCTAATTGTTGAAAATTGCGGTCATCAAATTGATGATCTTCCATCTGTAGGTTCAACGAGGCGAAACAATGCACTGATAAGAGTGTTTTCCCACTGCCTGTTCTGCCTGCAACTCCAATCTTTTGTCCCCCTCAAATGTACAACTTATACCTTGAAGAACTAATGGAGCATTTGCCTGCTACCTCACCTGTTTAGAGCAAACTTAAAAGAGATCAGACGCTTTCATGAAACTAATTAACGATTCCTGCAAACTGTAAACCATACCTTTATGTGTTCGCGAATTTCCACTTTGCCACGTGTTAGGCCAACCAGGTAAAGTGTGATTACTGTGGCTACTCAGTTGCTTCACTAGGTAGTCTCATGTATTGTTCTAACCTTTCTACAAAGATAATAGAATTTGCTATTGTGCATTCACATTGCAACAGACAAGTATCTTCAAAGGGAATTTCAGAAGAAATTCTTGAGGAAAATGTTTGTTTATAGCTAGTGTAGTTAATTGTAGGAATTATTGTTGCTTTGCAAGTTTATACTAATCCAGATCATAATTATTAGCAGTTTATTAGGATGTTATTCATATTATAAGAAGCACAGCACTGAAGCTAGAAACAAGACCTTTGGAAAGGTTCAAAGGAGCTGAATTTTCATATCTTCCAATCTAGCCTAAATTCATGTCTTTGCTGTGCCATTCTTGGAAGTAAGAGCCTAAATTTTCATAACTCAAAAGCTGCAGTGTAAACGCAAAAACCTTTTGCCAACAACTTCAGTTTGTTTGTTTCAGATTTTACCTTTTTGTAGGTTGAGATTATAGTATGTGCAGTTTACTTGTAAGTGATGTGCAATAATATTTTTTTTGACAGTCTGAACTTCAGAATCGTCAAAGTTCCAGAGAAACAGCAGATGATGCATTTAGGGCTGTATTTGGAAAGGAGCAGCCTGGTCTGGTTAGATGCTATGGTAGATCGGTGACGACAAGCTCTCTGAAAAAAGATGAAGAAATCACCAAGCTTAAACAAAAGCATGCCAATGAAATAACTTCTCTGAAGGAAGAAATGAAGGAAACGATGAGAGAAGAAATGCGATGTTTTTTTAGTCAAATGGTGAAAAACAACCCTGGACTGGATTTTCATGATATACAAGGGTGTGTTGGATCTAATATTCCTTCACCAATTGATGCAAGTAGTGCACGAGCTATGAGAGGCCAAAATCTACCACATTCTTCTGGCTCAACTCACGCCCCAAGTCTTGAAAAGGTATTTATATTTCCCAATTTCAAAAACTACCTCAATCTTAACTTACAAAATCATGATTTCTAACCAGTATATACTATATATATGTTTCTTCCTAATTTTTAATTTTATTTTGAATGTGTAGGAAAATACGGGTGATGCAATTGGATATGGTGGTCACAAATCAATTTGATTCATTAAAGTGAATAGTGAAGACCTTTTGAACAATTGGGATGTTTATTTTTATTGATTCTATAAATATGAATACATTTGGTTTTGTAGAGGTCTTTGCTAGTGAACTTTTGAACCAACAGTTTATTACTATAGACACTACACAAAGTATGTTTCTTTGTTGAAATTTATTTTAAGTATATGCATTTGAATTATTTTTATTCTATTACTTATTATCCAATTTAATGCTTGAGATATATATGTGTGTGAGAACAGAATTTGATGCAAACAAATATAGTTTTTTAACCACAAAATTGTGGCTAATATAAGTATTTGAAAAATAATTTTGTAGTGTAGACAAAATCGCCACGCTTAAAAAGGGTGGCCATAGGGATTGTCATGTTGCTCTAGAAGCCACACTTTGTAAGCGTAGCCTTTAACGTGACAAAGATCACGCTTCATAAGAGTAGCCTTATGTCATAAAAGCATGGCTATATGAGAAAATATAAGTGTGGCCTTTGTACCGTATCGGCCACACTTTTAAAGCGTGGATTCTAAGGCAACACCTACAAAGCGTGGCCAATAGTCAAAGGTTACGGTACTTTAGGCCACCCCCCAAAAAGCGTTGCCTAAAGTCGTAAAGTGTTGCCTTTGCCCAAACGCTACACTTCTTGGCATCTTAGGCCACACTTCTCAGGGGTGGTTGTAGGCCTAAAATGTTGTAGTGCAACTTTCGGCATTTCAACCCTAAATTAGCTACGGACCTCCAAAATACATTCTGAACATGCTCCCAACCCCGAAATCACCTAACGAAGCTAACGAAGCCATCGAATTTCCGTTCCGAGGCCGTCTTCATAATGTTCCGACTATGGTCAGTTTTCCAACACTTAAGCTCTCATTTAGGGACTAACTGTCCCAAAACTCTCCGAAACTCAAAACCGAACCTCCCGACAAATCAAAATAGCAGAAATAAACTTGGGGAAAGCAGTTAATAGGGGATCGGGGCGTAAATTCCAAAAATGACCGGCCGGGTCGTTACAGCTTCGTACCAACTGTTTGAACCCTTAGGGGATATTTACTGCTATTTTCCTCACTGTTATGACTCTACACTTGTACTCGGTCATGTTATATTTAACTGTTTTCACAACTCAGCCATGTTTACTCTGTTTTAACACTTTAAATAATAAAAAGATATTTTGAGCTGAGTATCATGTTTTACTGTTGCCCGAGGGGCTTATGAGATTCTAACTGAGTAAGGCCGAGGGCCTGTATTGTGAGGTTACTTTTGGGTCATGCTGCACGCCGCAGCAGTGATATACTGATTATGATAATATGGCCGAGGGCCTGAGATTGCACGCCACGAGGTGGCTTGTGATTGATATGAGGCTGAGAGCCCGTTTATGATGCCACGAGATGGCTTGATATTGCGCTTGGATCGTAAGGGGCCCCTCCCGGAGTCTGTACACCCCCAGTGAGCGCGGGTACCCATTGTGATATGAGATATAGCCCGAGTGGCTGGTATTGTTCTACGATATTGCCCGTGAGGCTGATCTGTTGTTGTTATTGAGCCCGAGGGGCGGTTCTTGTGTGTTTACCTTTCTAGCTGCTTTTCTTTTATTTGTTTAACTGTTTAAAAGGTGTTTTCTGAGACTTCACTGTTTAATTGTGTTTACTGATTTTGATCTGCCTCTTATAGCTTATTGTTGTCTTTAACGTGATTCTATATCGCTCAGTCTTCATTTATTGTTATTACTTACTAAGTTGGAGTACTCACTTTACTCCCTGCACCCCACTGTGCAGATTCGGGCATTACAGGTCCTGCTAGCGAGGGTTGAGAGCTGTCCAGCAGATTCCGGAGATTCACTAGGTAGCTGCCCGGCGATTTGCAGCCCAGTGCATTCTCCCTCTATCTTATTTCCTTTCTGATTCAGTTATGTAGTAGTGGAGTAGACTTTCAGACTTGTAGTATTATTTTAGATGCTCATGACTGGTGACACCCCGATGTCGGGCTGTGTTAGTTTTAATTCCGCTATTTATACTGTTCACTTTTTATTTTTGGGACTTTAATTCTGTTAAAGACTTAGTATTTATTAGTTTAATTGATTAAAGTGAATTGAAAGTGTGTCCGCTGGCCTTGTCTTCACGAGAGGCGTCATCACGACCGGGTCCGGGTTTAGGGTCGTGACATCTGGAGATGTAGCTGTCTGAGCCGGAGCTGCTGTTGGGGGCGACAATGGATCCTGAGGTACTGGATCATCATGTTCCACCCCTTCTCATGTTCAACCCGGGGTACTTGAACCCCCCTTGTGGATTTACCCTTCCTTTTCTGAGTTGGAGCCTTTTTAGTTCTGCCTTGAGCCACAATAGTAGCAATAGTTTCTTGAGCAGCATCCTGAGCGTCGGTGTCAGAGTTGCGAGTACGAGCCATTTCTGCGAGTTTTAGAGAAAAGAATACATTAGAAAATTTCTTAGAGGTGGGCTCTACTGCACGATCTAAAGTATGAAAAAAATAAGACTTTTCCTAAATGCTTGTAGCCTCCTGTTTATAAGTATGGCGCGCTTCATACCCATAAACAAAACTCTACTAACACGGCTTCATAGACCCCTAGGACTCCATAAACCTGAGGCTCTGATACCAGGTTTGTCATGACCCATTTTCTGAACAAGCCGGGACTGGCACCCAATCACTAAACATGACCGAGCGAACCATCTGTGCTTATCAAATCTATTATAACTTCAAACTTTACATGCCACAAGGCACTACTGTAACCAAATACTTTTAAATAATTTAAATATCTAAAATAAGCCAACTTCAAAACTTTATTTGTAGTAACCAATGAAATACTGCTAAGTTATTATCAAAAACATCTGAATCTTAACCCACCGACTGTGTCTATGAAGCCTCTACTGATAAACTGACGCACTGCTCAGGACATGAGATTTCCTGGCCAGTTCTCTAAGTAACCGAAGAAATAGTTAAGTAAATATGACTCTAAGGAATACTCCACAAATAAAAGCGGAGCTCACATAGCACAGGAAGAGAAGGAAGTCCTAACCCGTAGCCTGCTCGCTTGCAAAACCGGTTCCTACATTGTACCGCAGACCAATGTAGGTTCCCAAAAGAGAACGTCAGTACCATCCATTGTACTCAGTGAGTCTCAACGACAGGGGACGAAACTTTAATAATATATACATTACGAGCAAAGATTCTAAATGCATGTAAAACATAAAGCTTATAAGAACAATTCTAAAATAATTGCATAATAGCAGTTTATGAATATTCTAAAAGAAATTCTTTTCTTTTTCTTTCTTATAATAAAATAAAATACTTCACTTTATACTTTGGAAGTTCCAACTATCCTGACTTATTTCTGTCTTAGTCACCATGTGATCGGCAAGGGTTCCATCCCAATCTGATCGAATAGGCCAAATCCACGAGGTGCCACTCGCTTCATGGTTCTCAGCGTTCATGTATCATACCTTAGCCTGACTAAGTAAATTCTCAGCAACGAGACCTTCGGCTCGTGTGCTCCCTACTTTGGCACAAGTAGTTTCAGGAAGTCAACGCCTTGGTCAGGACCCTCGGCCTGGATGATGACCCCTTCTCAGAATAAAGGATACTCCCAAAAATCTTTTCTTTCTAAAACTTCTTATTGTGACTTTTCAAGTCTAAATCTTTTAAACATGCTCATACTGGAATCCTTAAATGTAAGGTATGGCATAAGAATGAAATAAACATTCAAAAGTATTTCTAAAGATTCTTGCTTCTTCATAGAATTTTCTTTTTCAACATGAAAATGGCCTATAAGAATTACACAAAAAATCTTAAAATTTAAGCACATATGTCAGAATAAATCATCTAAACTTTAACTAAAATAATTCTAAGCTAATAGGTACTGACTCACTTCAATTAAGTACATATTCGCTCTTTTAGTCAATTCATCAAACACCTTGTATGCATAGTTTTGTGAGTTAAACCACTTTGGTAAAGGGTTTTATCAACTCACTTCAAAACTTCTCGAGCCAATATGTAGGCCCCAGTCCAATTGACACCAGTCAAACAATCGATTCTACAACAACCAGTGCATTTCAATTAATTTTAAAGTTCGCACCTAAACACGGAACTTTACTGTTGATATAGAGAAAGAAGGGAATTATCTATTCAATTCTTACCTATTACTACTTAGGGTAATTGACAATTAGAAATTTTATATACCTGAATTCAAGAATAAGTGAGTTGTGAAGAACCCTATATTTTCTTTCGTGCAAATTTCCGGCTCCCTTTGTTCGTGATTCTGTGCGTTTGTGTTCTGCTTTCTCTAAGGCATTAAGCCTTTATCTGATCCCTTCCAACCTTTAAGTCACGTGACTTTCTTTCTGATTAGTTGCTTTCTCTTTTTATTTTGTTTGCCTTAACTAATAATTAATAATACACACTTTTAAATATTACTGATATTAAAATTATTAATACTCCCCTAGTTGTATATTCAATTCTTTAAATATTCCTTTGTTATATTTAGCGAGTTTTGAAACTTCTATAGATTTGAGGAGTGTTACATAATGCTTCAATCAAAAAAGAAATCGGAGCTCATTTGTTCAATATGATATCATTTATGCTTGAAGAAACGACATCGAAATCTTAAGAAAAACGAGCGCAACACAACCCAAACTTATTCGAAACTCACCCGAGGCCCTCGCGACCTCAACCAATAATTCCAACAAGTCACATATCACTACCCGAACTTAGTCGAACCTCCGAAACACTCAAAACAACACCAAAATACCAAATCAACCTCGAATTCAAGCCTAAGAGCTTCTAAACTTCCAACTTTCGCCAATTCAAGCCTAATTCTACCACAGACCTCCAAATTACATTTCGTACACACTCCTAAGTCTAAAATCACCCAACGAAGCTAATCGAATTATAAAAATCCAAATCCGAATTCGTTTACTCATAAGTCAACTTCAGGTTGACTTTTCTAACTTAGATTTCTAACTAAGAGACTAAGTGTTCATTTCACTCCAAAACTACTCCGAACCCAAACCTACCAACTCGATACAACTCAACACAGTTGAACAACACATAAATAAGCATAGATGGGGAAA